TTAACTTCATGCAATGGATTTAGGGTTAGGACAAAATTTGATCTTTTGATCTGTGGACTTGAGAGGGGGGTGGTGGAGAGAGAACAACATTCCTATCATCAAAACAGTAGTTATTGATTTTAAATACTCCTTGTTGAAATCAATGGGGAATTCAGCTTAAAAATTAATGCTACTGTAACTCAGTGTTATTAATACCCCATAAAATTTTAAAAGAGGAATATGTTTTACATTTGTCTGGCAGTTAACAATGCATCGTGCCATTTAAAAAGGCAATGCCATCATTCTTTAAAACAAACAATGAAGCAAACTTCAGCAGAGCACAGACTAGTTAAAGGAATTAAAGATCCCACAGCATAAAATTCTAATGAAAAAATGAAATATTAATTCCATGAATAGGGCAGTTGTTGCATCCCATACATAACAAAAGTTATATGCAAACATCCTCAAAGAGGAAATATTAATAAAGGAAGCCTTAAGTACATAGAATTCTGCACTTTCATGGAACTTTTAATAGGTATTTTATAGTCTGCTTTGTTGAGTCAAAGCATTTAAAAAGAAACATTTGGATGGTAGATGGAAGGTTATAGAAATCAATCTTTAATTCTCAATCTTATTTAAAGATAGTCTACTGTAGTCAATCATGACTTAATGTGATCACTTGGGATCAATCCTGGTAATCACATTGACATCTCCATATAGTACCTTGGCAATAGTATGGAAACAGCTTGCATTATCTTTTTGGGGAATGTATTTTGAGCTTTCCAGCTCGGCCTCAAAGCATTAGTTGATTTAAGGCTGTACTGTACCCAAATATAACTATGATTAGGCAAACCACAGTGACCTGTGTCACATGTAATGTTAAGCCTTAAATAATAGCTTATATGCCACAGTGGCTGAGATTTATGCTAGGCAAGGTTACATTGATAGATGAATTGAGCCACTGCACCTTACTCAAAATTATTTCTAAATTGGAGACAATCCATGTTTTTTAACTAACAGAGCAGGCAGTTTTATGAGCTGTTTATGCTTTTTAAAAAATTGTCACTTGGAAGGCATGCTCTTCCTCTTCCCAGTGACAAATTTTCCCCTTCAAAATGACACACTCTTCCTCACTTACAAGTAACCAATCAGATTTAGGCTGCATAGATCTGGATGCCCACTAGATAGCAGCAGAGATCTGCATACAATTGTAACACATTGCTATCATCTTATGGTCACTGCAATATCATAGCTCTGCTTACAAGGCTTTTGTCAGAATATAATACGATAATGTTTATTTTGGTCAGTGACCAGATAAAATAAATATATGCAAACAAAACAGAGCAGGAACTCATCTACACAAACACGGATAAGGATACTGTAGAAGGAACTGTGCATCCTGCCCCATGCACATGGATAAAAGGAAGATTACACACTATAATGACATGGATCCAAGACAGGTAATAGCTAGTTAACATGGTACCATTGTTTTAATTAAACGCGGACTGAGGTCTGAGAATCATTAAGTAAGCTTTTAACGCTAAGTACACATCACATGGGAAAACAACTATGAGAAAGTTGGTATTATTATTATTAATAATTTATTAAATATTATTAAAGTTGGTATTATATTATTATTATTAATAAAAATCAATCAATCATCCAAAAAGTGAAGACCACCATTGAAAAATATCTTTTTCTCCTACCGATCAAGCTGAAAAATCCTCAGGTCAACGATAAGACCCAAACAGACTCATAGAGCTGTTAAAAGTGGTTCTTCAAATAACCTTTTCCCAAACTAGTTTAGACTTTTAAAGTAGTCATCAAAAGGAATGACAATATATAATGTGTGGAATGAAAATGTGTTTCTGGGTATGTACTAGTGAGAAAATACATAAGAAAGTCTTAATATTTTCCTGATCTGCATTTTTCCTCTCCCCTTCTCTCTTTCTTTCTTTCTTTCTCTCTTTCTCTCTTTCTCTCTCTCTTTGCATAAGGGGTATATTTTATTTATGACTTTAAACAAAATATCAGCCACCATTCCAAAAGCTCTGCTCAGGGCAACATAAAATAAAAGCAAAACAAAACAATAAATCAGAGAACTTTTCTAGACAATTCAGCACATAGCCTGCAGACCCAACAGCATGGCATGGTGGCAGACCTGTGCTTTTAAACATGATTCTTCCCCAATCATATATAAAGAACAAGAGAAGCCTAAAACAGAAGGACACAATACTTCCCCCTCCCCAATGCCTTTTGACTTTACTCTTACTTTATATAGCAGCCTTTTTCCTCTTAAAATCATTTAGAGGTCACAAAAACCATCAGTAGCTGATTTTTATATACGTATAAGAGACTTGTGTTAAAGGGACAGAGGAAGACGTTTGTTTTATCTGTGTCTGATTAGCTAACAACTATGCCCTCTTCTGCTTGACATGTGTCAAAT